AACCTTCTTCCCTTTAATCCACCCGGTTATGGCTGCTTAATGCGATTCTCGCTAATTATACGCGCGTTGTGTCCGGACTACGGTCGCTGAGACGCGCCTACTGTCATTATCGCGTTTAGCACGGGACACGCGTTGAGGTGGATATACGATGAGCGAACAAACAACGAACGAAAAGCGAATGCGTCATATAAAGTTTGCATTCTTGTCCCTTGGTCGCTCGCGAAGTATACAGGAAAGTATGCACGAAGTAGGTAAGATGACAATTTGCTGATTTTCCTAATTATTGTTTTTGTCCTTGTCTAAATTTTACTTTCTTTAAGTTACATTGTCACAAAGCATACATTTTGCTCATAGATAATTTTTTATTCGTATTTTATTTTACCTGTATTTTAGTGTGTATTTAATTTTATTGTGTCATACGGACATTATGATAACAAAATAATATATGAAGTTTGTGAAAGTTACACTCTTCGTACGCATAAAAAATGTGTTTTCAACCATCGTCATCTTACCCACATATGGAAGCAAGATGAAATTGACATGGAAAATTTAAACGAAATCCGAATTTTTCAGTTTATGCAGATGAGCAAGGTTTTAGCTACTCGGGAAAAAAACCGATCATTGTTTTCACTAGGAAAATGAGGAAAAATCGACGAATGAGAGTAATCTTAAGATCATCTTACCCCTTACCCAGCTTTACACACGCAAACCGTCCCACCGGGAGTCGCGGCGAGCGAGATCACGAACATAATTCGCGTCCGCTAATCACGCGATCGTCGCGATCGGAAAACCACTGTGTTTTCCTTTCGTTCTCTCTCTTTATTTTTTTCCCCAACGATCTACCGCGGTTCTAATGTGTATGCTGCCAGTTATCGCACGTTATCGTTCCGGTCATTACCGTTGCGCGACGTTTCTTCGCGTTACGTGACTCGCGTGATAATTCGCGTCGGCGTTGATGCGCTGGCTCGAGCGTGTTCGCGCAGACAACGCGCGTGGGTTTAACGCGTGAAATACCGCGCCGATACCCGGACACTCTCTGCGTTTGCTCTACGATAGCGCGAATCAACGCCACGTGCTAATACGCATCGCAAATACGTAAAACAATACGCAGGCTGGCGGCCGTAGGTAAAACAAATTTACTAACACAAGCGTGTCACGCGATATGCGTGTAATTATTGATAGCCTTGCGGCTCGCATTGCGTCGATATGTCACGCTGTCGTTGCGAAGTAAACCGCAGCCCGGCTTTTCCGGACTCGCCCCGTGATTTTCGGCGGAATCCTTGCGCGGATTGTGCGTTCCTCTCTTCGGCAACAACATTGAGACCCGGACGAAATATTGACGTCTTAACCGACGGGTAGGATAAAATTACGCTCTCTGCAAATTGGCGCCGTTCAGTTCGCAGGGTGAAATTATGTTTCCCAAGCTCGCAATCGCGATCTCGTACCATAATATTATGTACTTCGTTCGACGCAATTCCTCAGCGAATAATATAAAAAACAATTTATAAGCAAATAATGTTCCACTATGTTAACGAAGTTTCGTCGGCTACGTGTTGGTTGGCTAATGCGTTGATATTACATATGAACTAGTACAAATCCGACGACACGATGGGAATGAAGGAAGCAGGAGAGGAAATGAAATATCAACGATTTCACAGAATGATATCGCGATTTGAGTTGCTCGCGTCTCCCTGAGCTAATTCGGACGTGATCTTTCAGAGATCTCCGACAACGGTGCGCAATTCGTCCGTACAAAAACAGGTTCCTCCTAGCAAGTAAGAGATTCCCCGTGCCCGGGACGCACGTATGTGCACGAGATCTCCGCATTTCCGTCCGAAGGTCGATCCGCGTAAAAAAGGGGCCGCGCATGGCGGTCCGAGACGTTATCTCGTCGCGACGCGTACACAAATATTTTCGTTTAATGCAAATGCGAAACAACCCGGCAGATATAATGAAGAAGATTACGCGGCATGTGGTCAGCATAGATAACGAAGGCACGAACATACGTGTACAACACTGACATGCGAGCCGCGTGCAGCCGAGCCTCGCCGCGTGGACTATGCTAATGGCGCCGTAATTTTATATATTATCATATTCGTCGTTACCATCGCCGGTGCATTAAGGCCGAGCTTCGACGTCGGATCAATAAAGAAGCGAATCAGCGAAAATGACGGGGTGACGAGGCGCGCGCGCGCGCGCGGTTTCGCTGTCGCGAAAAAGAGTGCCGGCGCTGGAAGCCTGTTTGCGTAATGCATTAACGTCGTCGTCGTCGTCGTCGTCGCGCATCGAAAATACGGTATACACGGCGCATCTCTCCCGCGGAACGAGCCGCTCCCCGTTTTAAATTGACAAAGAGAAAAAGAGAGAGACGGATTCTTTGGAAAAAAAAAAAAAAAAAGAAAATATCCGCGAGTTATAATTTCCGCTCTAATATATACGACGAGAGCGATTTTTCACGCGCACGCGCGCATGTTTTTTCTTTCCCCGCCGAGTTTGCCGTAAGTGGATTCACAGCTCTGCAAATAAAACGTGCTAAGATATAAATCCGCTTTTCTTCCCAGTTTTCTGGCACGAGACCAGCTCTGTGACGGCCCAGTTTTTCCGCGAATCCGTTCGAGATAGCCTCGTTGAAACGCGAAACTGAGAAGGAAGAGAGAGAGAGAGAGAGATAGCGATGGACCTGACATGTAGCGGCGGAAAAAATGAGGTCTACTGTGCGCGGCGAATTAATTTCACCGATTTTTACAGTTAGCGGTATGGATCACCGAGAGCGCGCTCCTTTTTTCCCCGACGCGAAGTTTAGTTTACTCATTATCGCCGACAGCCTCGAGGAAAATGCGCGGCTCGCGAATCTATCGCAAATTTGCGTGACGCAGCGTTTATCCTATTACCGCGAACCCCGGCGATATTAAGCCACGAAGCATCGTAAACAGCCGTTGCGGAATTTTATCGCGAACTTCTGGATGGGATCGTTAAACATCATCAGTCATCTTGATAAATGCCGCGTTTCGGTAACAATCTCATCGTGTAATTAAATCACGTCGCGCCCCTATATCGGCCGCACGCCGCCGAGAGGACGACCAGTCCATCTATGCTGCATTCGCAACTCTGCCCAGTGATCATAGCAGCGTCGGATGCATTGCATTATCAACAGGGAGATTAATCGAGGCGATTCCGAATCATCGAAAATACACAGACCGCCAGGAAGCTGCCACGTGCAACAGAGCTTCGTACATTCCTGCAAGTTGTACTTTTCCTTCCGTATTTTTCTTCTTGCAACACGCCGATCACATGTGACGAGCATATTAACGGGATGAATTCCAAGAGGACCGATGCGAGAAAATACGACGGGAAAAATCATAATCTGTTTTCTTTTCTTCATTCTCAAGACTCGACGCGATGGGAATCTAGTAGGAATCGTATACATCAAGCCGATACCCGAGACTGACAAGGTACTAATTCACTGAAAAATGGACTGAAATATGGATTTTACATTACCGATGCTTTAAATAGGAAAGCGAAAGATGTCACGTGGAATCTAAATAGCTCGGTGATAAGAAAGGTTGCCTGGCGAGCGGGAGACCCGAGTTCCATCACAGCCGATTCGGCTTCGCTCTGACGTTTTCTATCTCATATGACGTAAAAAGTGGACATCTGTAGGTACAAGCAAGCACCCCCGACCACATTCCGACCCTTCTTTCCACAATATGGTTGATGTAATAACAATTGTACAGTAAAGATAATCATTACTGGGAATTTCAGTATTGAGAATCGATAATTGTTGGTACTTTTGCAATACTAGGAATCGGTTCAGTTACGATACTGTTTTTCGCGTCTTGACCTATTGCTATTTCCTAGTGTTCCACCAGTATCTAATCGATATTAGCATGTAGTTCATCAGAAATCGGTACTGAACCGGCACTTCGCCAGTAGTTATTTTCTACATGGGTTTCTTCGATAAGTTCGCGTGGATATTTTGCGAAAGATTCAAGGTCGATATACTTTTATAGCTATAACTTTACTCGATAATGCATTGAGCATTTTTTTCAATGGCAGAAAATCACAGGAAAAAAACGAAAAAGATCACATTGTGCCTGATTACAGGAGCATCGGCTTGTTTCGTGAAAATCCGCACGAATTTACCAAACAACAAATCCGATAAATTTGCAGTTGATAATAAAATAACAGATAACCCCGTCTGTACGCATGATTAATCGGCGGAGACGCAAATAACGATCGTTGATGTATATATGCGCGCCTCCAACGTAAATATTTTATAGATATTTGCAGCTATCGGGCGACGTTTATAATCGGCCGCATAATGAGTGCGGTGGGAGCAAACGGGAGCTTATGCGACGCAGATGCGCCACCGCGTTTACCGCGGAGTTTCATAACGCGATTCGTAATTAATGAGCCGTCGATAGGTATCCTCGTTCGTTCGCGTTAGTCGTTGAGTTTGCTTGAGGGTGCTCGAATGAAACGACTTTAATCCGCTGGAAACACCCCGGGATTTCGATGAATTTCACGCAAAATTGGTTTATCACGCGGACGTTATCCGCGAGGATGATTCATTCGGATTTCCCCCGGCTAAAGTTTTCCCCGATCACACGTGTAATAATTGATTTTTTAACTGTAATGCACAAACTGTAAATATTAATCGTTAAAATACGAGGTTACGTTAAATTAGGTGGCTGATTTAATCAAGCGACTCGCGGAAAATAACAACGTAGCTATTTTTCTCCTACTATAGTTTTTTAAGATCGATGCGCATTTTAGTTACAAGTCGATCGCAAGCAGACGCAGAATGCTTGTCGCGGTAGTCAATCAAAAGTATCAATAGTATAATCGACGTTTCTGTTAGCGATTAATTGCAGAAATAAAATAACGACGAGATAAGTCGTTAAAGTCGACCGATTTTATTAGTTTCGAGAAATGTGATATGAATTCATTGATATCATCGAGCTGACGTATATAAGCAAGACTCAATATTCGTTCACAGTTAGTGTAGATCGGTTGAACGAGACAAACAGTTCTCTACATTAGGACGAGTTGATAAAAAATATTCATAACTATTCGTCGAAAGAAGATGGCTTTCCGATTGAGTTTATTCTATCTGTTAACCGTTACTTGCATCTTGACGCACGTAACGATGGCCCAAATACCCAAAGGTGAGAATTCTCCCGACGTCGATCCTAAAGGAGTTCATCGTTATTTTAACGAGACGAAAGATTTGCTCGCAACGTCTTTGTATAAGATGCACGTTGATATCAGTTTAAATTTCGCGTCTGTTTCAGCATGCACGGATCCTATAATATCCGGACAAATTAATCCGACATGCCTCATGTCCTCCGGAAGATTAAAATTCGCGTACGACGCAATTTCTAATACTTGCGTCAAGTTTTTTTACACTCACTGTAGACCAAAGGACAACGAAAACGTGTTCTTCTACGAAATAGACTGCCAGAAAACGTGCGTAGAGAACAGATTTTTGCTGGGGCAGAAAATTGTTTCTTAATATAGTGACAGCAAAAAGATTCGTCATATGGAAAAAATAATTTTGCTGTTGTAGCAAAATGTTGCGACAGCGATAAAATTTAATTGGCTTAACCGAAAATTAATACTCCAAACAAATCTTTTAATAACATATAAAAAAATATAAAAAGTATGTACATAACAATGCATTCTAATTATATGCTTTCTTATCGTACGCAGATTGCGTATAGAGATTACGAAGAAATTGTTAATAAAAATTATTTATATTATGCACTACGACATATGTTTGGACGTTTCACCTGCCATCGTGTTTACTTTAATAGATATTTGTCTAAAACAAAAAAATCGAAGGTCTTCGGAATTGCGTTTATCATAACGATAATTATTCGTTTTAACAGCTCTAATAAATTTGACCTTGACATGTGTTGTCGAGAATATTTTCCTGAATAACATCCAGAAGATATTAGTTGATGGTTTTTGTTTATTAAAAATTATTAACAAAGGTTTTATCAGAGAGCTGAGATGACATTATCCTCCTTAAGATGATTTTGTTATCTCAGCTCTCCGAGTTACGATGCTATTATCATCTCAGCTTACCGGGCTATCGATAAAACTTTTACCTTTTTAATAAACAAAGATCACCGATAAAAAACTTCTCGATAATATATGTCAAGGCGAATGTTATCGGAGATGTTTCCGTTGAAACGACTATCATCGCAATAATTAATCAACATAAGCTATTTTCATGATTACAGGATTAAATTCTAAAACTGGCTGAGAAATAATAATATGGTTAGTTTTCAAGAACACTAAACGTTTTACAATGAGTAAACGGGAGTTACACAGTAAAAAATTTTATATCACAAACAGTCCACCCAATTCTTTCTGTTTATTGTCTTTAACAAAATGGATATGTTACAAAGTAATATATTAACAAGGTGGATATGTTAATTTAATATATTTATGTACTTTTTAATAATTCCTCATGTTAAAGTAACATAAAAATTTAAGTAAACCGTTCGTAACACATAATTTTTTACTGTGATGCTATTATTATCTCAACTCACTTGACTGCTGATGAAACTTTTAATTTTTCAATAAACAAAGACAACAAAAATTTCTCGACAACAAGGTCAAAGTCATCGGAACTGTGTCCACGTGAACACGAGCAGCTACTTCGAAAATTAAATAATTAAATTCTAAAACTGGACGAGAGATAACAACGTAGCTAGTTTTCTAGGACACCAAACGTTTTACGAGCAAATGCGTAAGTATAGAAGAAAATAAAAAAAGTCACCGACGCCAGAGTTATTGTTGCTTCGCGGAACGTTAGATATGAACCGGTTGATAACTTCAAATAGATTTATAGTAAGCGAGACATATTGTTGGGTTCAGTTGTGCAACGTGCACCGCCCAAACAAAACTGACAGTTGAACGCATTGCGAAAAGTTGTAGAAAGGAGCGTCGATGACCTATATCAAAAGAATGAACCTGTTTTGTTTCTTTGCCGTCATTTGCACCCTGTTGCACGAGATAACAGCTGAGAAACCGAAAGGTAGGAGTTTCGACCGATGGTTCTAATAAAACGATTAGGTGCCGGAAAAAGTTCATGCGGATTATTAGGTCGAAATTAAAAACATTCTGAAAATTTTTAAAAAGTAGTTTTATTTGACGAAGTAGTCACCATTGACTTCGATGACCCTTTTCCACGTCTGCACGCCTTTTTTGTGGGTTTGAACGTACATATCCACGCGGTTCATCATCTTCAACAACAGATGGACGTCCCGAACGCGGTTCATCCTCTAGTGATTCATTAAATCTTCTTTAAACCGCTTAAACCATTTTTATACTGTCCTTTCGCTAACAATGCCTTCGCCACACACGTTACAAATGCGTTTCGCTGCATTTGTTGCTGTATTTCCAAGTTTAAACTCACAAAGCAAGAAAGCACGAGCTTTTCGCTATCCACCTTTAACCTCACATAAACAACGGAATGTTGAAACAATTAAAAGCTGCACGTCATGTATACCAACGATATAAATGTAACTTTCTGTTGATACCAACTTTATGCATTACACGTGCGAATTACTGGCTAAAGTCCGACTTCAATTCATTGCTAAGAAGGAAACCCCACGAACTTTTCCGATACGTAATATATTTCAACAATATATTATCGCAACATGTTTTTTCGCGTGATGTACAGTAATGTTGATTTCAATTCCACGTCTGTTCTAGCATGTAACGATCCTATAATACCCGGAAAAATAATGCCATGGTGTGACGCTCTATCGATAAGATATGGATACGAAGCGAATTCTAACACTTGCATATCATTTCTGTATACTGGCTGCAAAATAGACACTGACAACAACTTCGTTACCAACGAGAAATGTGAAGCAACGTGTGTTACATAATTCAGAACAAACTACACGACCATTAGCTACGATAATTATGATTAATGGAAACATTTATAATATTAATACATCTGACGATGTAAATATTTAAGTATTGTATCTTCATATCTCGCGAAGATTTTGCGAAGAAAGAACGTTACGAAAAGAAATACGGCAACGGAAGCAACGGAAATTACTTATTAAAACACAACATTCATGTGATTTAATTTTGAGTAATATCCGTCGATGACTGATACTTAAAACTCTGCTTGATACTTGAAATGTCGATGATGACGAGGCTAATGTAACAAAAATGAAATAAAATATTTGAACGCTATTGCAAAGAGATTCTTCTTCTCACAGATAAGAGGCCTTTAGAGATACTGTCCGCGTTTGAAACGAAGCACTTACAAAACCAAGTTTAATCCGGCATAATAATAATCGCCGCGACGATGTGACTGGGGATCCGAAATTGCGATCGTTCCGTGTATTTTCGCGATTCCCGTCCGTAGGAGATTCGCCGCCGCTAAAAGACGAGAACTCGGATTACGAAGTTCGACGAGCTCGCTTACGGCGCGACTTAATACAACGTGACGTTACATTTACGTTGCACTTACGCCGTTACAGAACGTAGCATGGACTTAATCCCGCGGAAATATGACCTAGATCCGCTAACCTGAAGTCAGCCGATACCTAATGCTTCCTTGATACGACCGTGCGCCATTTCATTCTGCGATCTTCGTAAGGTGATTTATACCCGCACGTCATCTCCCTTTGACGGATCACCGCGAAATACGCGTCCACGTATTCGTAATCAGGTACGGAAAAATGTTCGACCAATGCGGAAGGATTTTTCACGTAATGAAAGTAACGAGGGGTGGGAAGGGAGACTTTTACACTCCACAGCAGATACGGCACTTCATTGCAACGTGATAATGGATTTGTAATTAATGATCTGTCGATCGGTATGCGGTCACGATGTTGGATTTATGCGCGTGCTCCGATAAAAACGATTTTAATCTGACGGAAACGGAGGTGTCGTTCGATCGCCCGTTGAATCGATACCATCTTTCACATTTCGCGAGTAGAACGGTTTGATAATTGATAAGGATTTCATAAGTGACAATGAGCGTTCGTTGCAGCGATGACAGATCGATAGTGAGGCAACATCGGATTCATTATCTTGCAGATGTACTGGTCTGCTGCCATAAAAAATTGACGAATCTCGGTCCCCGTTCTACTTGCACACCACGGGAACCGAGATTACTTCGGGACACCCTGTATATTATATGATTTGTATAATTTGGCAGGTATCGATTTTTCAGCTCGCGTCCATTAATATAGTTTTTAGTTAATTTCAATAATTACTACGCGCAAATTCAGAATCTGAATCTAAATTTAATATTCCTATCGAGTGAAATCATCGTTCGTGTCAATGAAAGTGATAGACGGATGGAGAAAGATAGGGGGGTTTTTTTTTTAATTTCGCAAATGAAATAATTAATGAGGTTGCGTATGCTCTCGCGGATACGAAATTTCGGAAATGCGTATGCCACTCGCGATAGATTGCATTTCCTGTTGCATCGGTATTTCGCATTCGCTGCGACCCTTTTAAAGAAAATGTCCGCCGCGAAGTTAATGCGCGTCGCGCACGCACGCACGAGCGTTCGGCATTAATAACGATCAACCGTTCTGAAATTCCTGCGGTGGTCTGATCGGCGACCGCATTATCGGTCGGTCGTTAATGCGTTTCGGCCGGTCGTCATAAATTCGCACGGAAAATAATGCACGCCCGAGCGAAAACAATGTTGCCGGGGGGTGGGAAGAGGGGAGGCACGATTTACGGGCAGCGATGCGCGATGGAACTCTTTCCAGCGCAAGCTTTTCGGGATGAAACAATTCGTTGCCTGTCGCTCACTAACGATTTACGACGCGCGAGCAGATTATCGCGAATGCTCGGCCGCGACGTCGCAACGCGTAATTGAGCGGCCCGCGCGTAGCGATAAAATTAATTTAACTCGCCCGGCGATCGCGTCGCACTCGAGACTATCCATTTGACTGTTTAGCGTGAATCGCAGCAGCGACTGCCGCACGGTAGGTGTAACCTCGCCGATCCTGCCAACGGCTCGTTCTTGCCGATCCAGCGGGTTTCATTTCAAGCCAAACGCGGATGAAATCAGCTGGTAACATCGCGTTCGCATGACTGGACAAGCAATAGACGACAGCGCCGAACGCTTCCAATATGAGTAACAAGGAGATCTCGGCACGAGACTCGTTTTCTGATATCGTCGACAAACGGTCGCAGAGCTCGCTCCACGTTCGCGTCAAATTGTCTTAACGTGCCCGACGTTTCGATCGCCCGGCCGTGGAATAGCGATAGTGAACCCACTTGTCGGCGAAGTAAACGGACAACGCGGTACATCGGTAGACTGAGAGAAAAATATCGAAAAAATATCGAAAAAATGAACAGCGTCAATTAATAATAATACTTATTCCAATATACGTATTTTTACATAGAAAAAACATTTTTTCAAATGAGAAAACATACATTTTCTTAAACCTATCTCTGTGTTGGAAAAAAATAAACAGGTGGGAATCCATATAAGAAATCCATGTGGAATTCCGCAATTGCTCCTGGGGATTTGCGCCGAAAACCCAGGTCCCAGGTAAGAATCTATATGGAATCCTATACGAATTTTCACAAACCACGTGGATTCCTATATGGGTTTCCACACACCATGTGAATGCCTACGTTTGTATTATTTCACATGAACTCCATCGGATTTCTATGAGGATCCACTTGAAAATTTTCAACAGAGATAGCTTTGCGTGTGAAAGTAATTGTTTATTCTATATTTCAACGGAAGAATTTAGATTCAAATA